CCCCCCCAGGGATCCGCCAGCCGGAGCGTCTCGTCTGCTCTGCGCTGATCCTCCACCCTTCCTTCCCTTGCCCTGCCCTGAAGTCCCTTTTCTGGGTAGAGGTCCCCCGGAGATGCGGGAGAGCCCGGGAACGGCATGGGGAGCGTTCCGGGGGCCGTGAGACCGTGTGCTGCGAGACCGGGGGCCGCGCCTCACCTGAGTGCGATCTGGGCCCTGTTCCGGTGGAGGAGGAGGCCGGCCTCTTCGCCTTTAAGAGCCGCAAGAGTGGCAGGCATTCGGGGGCTGGCCACTCACCATTAGCTGGGGTGACGGAACACACAGGCTTCCGGGGTGTGTGTGTGTTGGGCGAGTCCCTCTCGGGAGCGCGTCCCCTTCTGTCCCGCCGGCCAGGCCGGAGTCGCGTGTGCGTCTTCTGCTCCGGACGGGTTTGAGGCGGGTGGGGAGGCGCCCTCCTTTCCTCCCGCTCTCCCCCGGGGTCCGGTTCCGCGTCTCCCGCTGGCTGCTGGCTGCTGGCTACAGGCCGCGTCCCTCTCCTTCCTCCCAGGTATTGTCTGATGCAGTCGATCAAGCACTGCCAGGTCCAGCGAGAGAGTCTGGTGCGGACGGGAAAGAAGATCGCCTACCAGGGCCGGGTGAAGGACGAGCCGGCGTACTACTGCAACGAGTGCGACGTAAGTCTCCCGTGCCTGCTCGTGCCGGCTCCAAGGAGGGGCGGGCACCCATGTTTCCTCCAAGCTGAGTGAGAGTGAGCCATCTCACAGGTTTTTTGGCCTCTGGTCACACATTTCTGCCTCCGCTCAGGAAGGAGGGCCCCGGAGCAAAAACTGATTTATGCAGTAGCCCAATCGCTCGCTCACCGCCAGTTTGGTGTCGTGGTTAAGTGCACGGACTCTAATCTGGGAAAACCGGGTGTGATTCCCCACTCCTCCACTTGGACCTGGCTGGATGACCTTGGGCAAGCCATAGTTCTGATAAGAACTGTCCTTGAAAAAGAGCCGTTTCTGTCAGAGCTCTCTCAGCCCCACCCACCTCACAGGCAGTGTTCCCTCTAAGCTGAGTTAGTGTGAGCTAGCTCACAGGTTTTTAGCCCCTGGCTCACACTATTTTGCCTTCGCTCAGGAAGGAGGGCTCAAGAGCAGACTCATTGATGCAGGAGCCAAATCTCTCGCTCACAACTTCAATGCCCATGGCTCACAAAGTAGGATTTTTGCTCAGAAGACTCCACAGCTTAGAGGGAGCATTGCTCACAGGGGTGTCTGTTGTGGGGAGGGGGAAGGGAAAGGAGATTGTGAGCCGCTCCGAGACTCCTGGGTAGTGAAGGGCGGGGTATAAATCCAATCTCCTCTTCTTCTTCAATGCCCGGAGCTCACAAAGTAGGATTTTTGCTCACAAGACTCCACAGCTTAGAGGGAGTGTTGCTCACAGGGTGTCTGTTGTGGGGAGGCGAAGGGAAAGGAGTTTGTGAGCCGCTCCGAGACTCCTCTGGGTAGTGAAGGGCGGGGGATACATCCAATCTCCTCTTCTTCTTCAATGCCCGGAGCTCACAAAGTAGGATTTTTGCTCACAAGACTCCGCAGCTTAGAGGGAGCGTTGTCGTGAGTATCCGTGCTCCCTCTGAGCGGTGGGCGTGAGCGGCGGCTCATGAACACGGGAAGCCCTGCTCAGCAGTCGTCTGGAGCCATGCAGGGTCTTGCGCGGCCCGTTGCCCATTTTAAGTGGACAGCGGTTGTGTTCTGCTCAGAATGCAAACTACTCTGCTCAGGAGATGGGGGGGGGATTAGAGGGAGCATTGGACTGGGCATTTCCCCGTCTGCTCGCCAGTTCTTCTCCGGGGCGACATTCCGGGGTCAGTGTCTCCGGCCCACAGGTACCTGCGTCCACCTCAGAGGCCGTGTGCTCCCCTGCAGGGGCCTGGTCCCTTCCCCACCACCCTTTGCTGGCTATGATCCCAGAGCAGAGGTGGGAGATGCAGGTTTACAAGGTCATGCGTGGGATAGAGCAGGTAGAGAAAGAGGTCCTTTTCTCCCTTTCTCACAATACAAGAACTCCTTGTGGGCACTCAATGAAATGGCTGAGCGGTCGGGTTAGAAGGGATAAAAGGAAGTCCTTCTTCACCCAAAGAGTGATGAACACGTGGAACTCATTGCCGCAGGATGTGGTGGCGGCTACAAGCATGGACGGCTTCAAGAGGGAATTAGATAAACACCTGGAGCAGAGGTCCCTCAGTGGCTCTTAGCCACAAGGTATAGATAGGGACTCTTGGTCTGGGGCAAATGATGCTCTGTATATCTTGGTGCTGGGGGTGAGCACAGTGGGAGGGCTCCTAGTGTCCTGGCCCCACTGGTGGACCTCCTGATGGCCCCTGGTATTTCTGGCCACGGTGTGACACAAGAGTGTTGGACTGGGTGGGCCACTGGCCTGATCCAACATGGGCTTCTCTTGTGTTCTTGTGTTCTTATGTCAAGGACTGTGGCCGGCGCAAGAGGATACAGTAACCCCTCCCTGAACAAGGGAAAGGGAACCCGGAGGGGCCACGGCTTGAGGGCAGAGGGTCTGGTTGGCCTGCAGAAGGCCCCAGGTTCGAGCCCCGGCATCTCCACCTGGCAAGGGTCTGCTGAAAAGGGATAGGGAGGACCTCCGCCGGAGACCCTGGCGAGCCGCTGCCTGTCGGGGAGACAAGAGTGGCCCCAAGACCCGGGACTGGGCAGCTCCGGGCGTTTGGACAGGCAGAGCAGTTGCCGGGCGAAGCAGAGACCTCCTGAAACGGAGGGTGTGGGAGGGAGGGGGGCCGTGGGGTGACCTGGGGAGTGGGGCTGGTTTTTAACTGTCGCCTGGCATAGGCCTCCTTCCCCTCTGGGCCGCGCATCCGGTTCTCCCGGCCTCCGTTTTGCCTTCTCTGCCACCCAGGGAGTTGGGGGGGGGGAGCGAAGGGGCCCTAGGAGAGGAACAGGTCGGGCTTCTAAACGGGGCTGCGGGAAGAAGGAAGCCCCGCCCTGACAAACGTTCCTCTGGCACGGCGACTGGGCTCCCGGTCCCGGAACAGAAACTGGCCCCGGGCCTCCATTCTGAAAGAGACCCAGGGAAGGGCAGCCCTACGGGGCACCAAGACTTGGGGAGCTGGATTCGAGTCCATGAGCACCCTACAGGATTTCTAGGGTATCTGGAGGCCAAGTGCCCTTCATCAGATACGAGAAGGGAGATCCTCACAGAGCCAGTTTGGCACAGTGGTTAGGAAGGCAGACTCTCATCTGGGAGAACCGGGTTTGATTCCCCACTCTTCCACTTGCAGCTGTTGGTGTGACCTTAGGTCAGTCACAAGTTCTCTCAGAACTGTTCTCTCAAGAGCAGACCTCGAAAGAGCTCTCTCAGCCCCACCGACCTCACAGGGTGTCTGTTGTGGGGAGGGGAAGGGAAAGGCGATTGTAAGCCGCTCTGAGACTCCTTCGGGTAGTGAAGGGCGGGGTATAAATCCAATCTCCTCTTTTTCTTAAATCCAGGGGGGCGGGGGTGTTGCAGAGAAGGGACTCCGGATGCAGAGGGTACAGTGTTGATTTCTCCTTTGCCCTGTTCCCTTGTGCGTATTGTCCCTTTGCATCCCAACTTTCTTCTTTGCAACGTCCTTCTCCTCTTCTGACATGGGGTAGAAAGACCAAGGGATTCGGCCACCACACCTCAAAAAAGAAATGGTGCAGAACAGGGCCTCTAGCATGATTAAGGGGAAGGAACGCTTTCCCCGTGAAGAAGGGTGAAAGAGGTGAGGGCTCTTTAGTCTGGAGAAATGACAACTGAGGGGGTGACACAATCAAGGTTTACAGAATTAGGCTTCGGATAGGGAAGGTGGAGAAAGAAGTCCTTTTCTCCCTTTCTCACAGTACAAGAACTCGTGGGCACCAGTGTTCCCTCTAAGCTGAGTTAGTGTGCGCTAGCTCGTAGTTTTTGAGCCTCTGGCTCACGCATTTTTATCTTCGCTCAGGAAGGGATGGTTGCAGAGCAAACTAATTTATGCAGTAGCCAAATTAGAGCTCACAACTTTAATGCCAGTAGCTCACAAAGTAGAATTTTTGCTCACAAGACTCCACAGCTTAGAGGGAACATTGGTGGGCACTCCATGAAATTGCTGAGCAGTCGGGTTAGAACAGATAAAAGGAAGTCCTTCTTCACCCAAAGAGTCATTAACATGTAGAATTCACTGCCGCAGGAGGTGGTGGCGGCGGCGACAAGCATGGACGTCTTCAAGAGGGGGGTGAATAAACATATGGAGCAGAGGTCCATCAGTGGCTATTATCCGCAAAGTGTTGATAGGAACACTCTGTCAGGGGCAGGGATGCTCTATGTTCTTGGTGCCTGGGGGGCCCACAGTGGGAGGGCTTCTAGAGTTCTGGCCCCACTGATGGACCTCCTGATGGCCCCTGGGTTTTGGCCACTGTGACGCAGAGTGCGGGACTGGATGGGCCATTGGCCTGATCCAATACTGGCTTCTCTTATGTTGTTATGTGTGGGGCAGGTGATGCCCTGTAT